TTGAGTACCTGAAGATTGATTTATTGACATTCTTGCTGAAAGCGAAAGCGAAAATTTTACATATTATGCTAATGATTCAACAAGCTACCTGAATATGAAATGTGCAACGTATACACAGCAGTTAGATACAATAAGCATGGATTTTTAGCTGAATTGCTGATGCTGATTTCTATGACTTTTGTGTTTCCGATAAATTATTTTTGCTATTTTTTTCATGCAACATGCTGAGTGCTTGCGATTTGGATGTAAGTGTGATTTCATATATATAAGCTAACCAGTCTACAACTACTAGCGCTGGAGTTGTCAGTATTCTGAAACGATATATAAAACTTTCCTAATGAGGCACACTTACAAGACAAGCGATATTTAGTCCTAAATATTTAGTTCTCTCAATGTTTGTGCGTGTGTAAAAAGTAAATACAACAGTCCTTATTCGTTCATGGTCTTCTGACGCAATGCAACTATCTGCCGGCTTTTTCAATCCCATGGTGTTCTTCTCAGAGGTTGAGTATCTTGCAAACCAATACTTCGTAGTCGGTGTATTGGTGTTCTTTGCAGCCGTACGGTATGTACAGACACTTGTGCGATGGGTGCACTTTTCCAATGGTCAGCATTCCGTTGTGTAAGGCTCGGCCGATGTACAGCGGCTCTCCTGAACTGGTCGTGCCGCCCTGAATGGCCCCATTTGGCACCGAGCCGTGGGAATCTCGCACCCAAGCCATCACAGGATGATCGGAGGTTAGCACCTGTCAAAATATATAGGGCAGGCATATAATAATGTGACTGTGTGCTCGTTTACCAATAAGCAATGAGTTCACAGACTGAACTTTTTCGCATGTTTTTTTCTCGGTACATATCACTAGCCTGCCCGATTGTTATTGTCTCGTTCTGAGTATTGCCGCCATTCGTCTTATAAATGATACCTAAGAACAACGACATTTGGCAAATATGACAGGACTCGCATTCGAGTAGACGTCATCTGGAGGATATGTAAATCACGGTCACAAGTACAGGTGGACGCAGAAGAGCACCCAGCATTCAATGTTTTGGGTTCTGTGTAAAATAACGTCTTCCCTGGCAGCAATGCGGAATCGTGTATGTTAGCTTCGGTGATAGGGTGTGTTATTCTCTAGAGAAGAGTGGCAAGCCGAAGCGACATAAGGCGAGCTTCGGTGGACCTTTCGGACCTTTTTAAATCAACTTTTTTCTCTTTCTCTTAAATGTAATTGTTGCTAATTGCACTGCCATAGTGCCTTTGTGCCCCTGACTTGGTTTTAACAGAGTTCTCACTTGCGCTGTGCATAGTGTCAACCCAAGTATACGTATATACTGTTAATATACATCTATGTGTTTCGATGTTATACTTGTTCTCTCACCATGTCTTACTGTAGGCTTCAGTACAACTAATGGTCCCCCGAATCAGTATGGCGATGAATTGTGACTATCGTTCCCCAGATTTGGAACAACCAAAAGCTTTAAAGTGTTGCCGCAGTCACCATGTCTTACTGTGGGCTTCAGTACAACTAATGGTCCTCCGAATCAGTATGGTGATAAATTGTGACTATCGTTCCCCAGATTTGGAACAACCAAAAGCTTTAAAGTGTTGCCGCAGTCACCATGTCTTACTGTGGGCTTCAGTACAACTAATGGTCCCCCGAATCAGTATGGCGATGAATTGTGACTATCGTTCCCCAGAATTGGAACAACCAAAAGCTTTAAAGTGTTGCCGCAGTCACCATGTCTTACTGTGGGCTTCAGTACAACTAATGGTACTCCGAATCAGTATGGCGATGAATTGTGACTATCGTTCCCCAGATTTGGAACAACCAAAAGCTTAAAAGTGTCGCCGCAGGCTTCTGAACAAAAGGTCCGCAATAGGCAGTGATTTCTGCATTTCTTAGGACGGCTGTACACCTCCAGAACACGTGGCTCAGCGTGGGTGCTCAGAAGTGTTTTTGTTTCCCATTATGACCATTTACTCTGCATTGCTAAGCATGTGCATGGGTTGGTAATCTATACGGTTGCGTGGGGCTTTTCGTTTTTATTTGCCAGACCCCTTTTATAAGGTACATCATCCATTCAACCATTCAAAAAAAAAAAAACCAGTGCTGCCACAATAATAGCCTGCCAACCGAGTTACGTTCGCTGAAACAGAATTTTTCTCCACCCTACTATGTTATTTCCTCCATCAATCACTAGGCGACCAGAGAGAGACATTACGTGCCCGGAAAAAGACTGCGTCAAGACTCTGCTCCTACTAACGGTAAAAGTAACCTACCTGATATTAAATTATTGTGTAAAGTACTTACCCAGAAAATGTGAGCCTGATTCCACATTCTTTTGCTCACTTAATCTTCAATAACAGTATCCTCAGTGCCAGTATTCACAAAATGTTTTTTCGCTCAAGTGTCATGCGCGATGAGCCATCGACAGAGCGGTGGTCTGGCCGCACCGTCAATCGCTATCACGCATTTAGGTAGCCGGAACGCAGGCCAGTGGGCTTACTTAAATAATTTTTATGAGGGGTCCAGACAAAACATGAGTTTTCACACACTTGATAGTCCTTGTGACTGTGCTCGGCGCCAGCGTAGGAGACGTAGCAGCAGCTGTGCGAAGGCACCACTTTGCCCGGAAGGACGTCACCGTCGTGGACCGCACGGCCGACGTAGATGGTCTCTCCTCCGTCTTTGCCGCCGGGCACAGCGTTAACCGGTATCTGACTGCCATGGCACATTACCCACTGGTAGACGGGCATGTGGTGGTATGCTGCAAGCCAGTACGAACAACGAGCCCATTAACGGGGCTGGGCCCGGATTGGCCAGACTTCATAGGATTTGCCACAAAAAGACTATAAAGTATTCAATAAAAAGAAATACAATTCAACGAAATAAAAATTTATAATTGCTTTGGTTTTACGTCCCGACATTGGGATGGACGCCGATGATGGACGCTGTATAATGAGCGCCGGATGCTTCGACCAAGTGAGGTTCTCACGGGCACCTGAATCTAAGTACATTGGTAAGAGGAACAAGCCACGCAAGCTTTAACAACGAGGGCGCCTGCTGTATATATCGTTTCGCAGTTGTATTCTCGTTGGATAACACATATACTGGTTCCACATTCCTCCTCCTTATTTAATAGATAATTTTAGTTTAGCGCGCAGCCTAACGCACGCGATGCGGGAGTGGGAGCAAGACTGCGCCCAAAAGATGTGCCCGCTCGGCGGCTGCATTCGGCGGCTCTCTAACGAGATTTCGACCTAACGAAAGCAAAACTGACAAGATGGCCGCCACCGGAAGCAGCACTATTCCAATACACTATAGCAGCGCGGTGTTGTGGCAGCGATGGAAGTTCATGTGAATTTCAGCATCGCGCTTTTTTGGAGCTTATTTAAGTACCTAAACCCGATTGTTGAACAGGTGCAGTGGATTGTGATCGCTGCTAAGCCGAAGCACAACGCGTCGTGACCGGGCACCGTCAGTTCCTGCGCACCGGCTGTTTCGCCAGAAAGTCGTTCCTGCAAAGAGGCGCTGTACAAAAAAACAAGAGCCCGAATTTGATGGGAAGCACCGTGGTGGACTTGTGGAGTGTGCGCGGTGCCGTGTAGAAAATGCTTTTGCACTGTGGTGTTTTCCTTGTGTGCTGAACCGGAAGATTTTGAAATGATCGCTTGCAAAAGCATGTGTAAGGTTAAAAACAAAAAGGCATGTTTTCAGCCATGTACGTCCTTGTTCCAAAGGGCTAAGGTAATTTTCTCGCACATGGGCATTCGCAACCAGTACCCTCAGAATTGTTGAGTAAGTCAGTGAAAACATTTATTGAACAAATAAAAGGCGGAGAGGTGCAGCCCTTTTGGAAGCAGCTTTCATGGTACGTGAAGAATGTCTATGCATAAGCATAGGTCGGCCAAACCTGTGGAGCTCACTCAGACTCACTTGTGAAATACGTATGGTGCTTTTAACTCACTCCGACTCAAGAGTCACCAAACGTTTTGTGAGCCAGACTCATAGACTCACATTCGCGAACGTTTTCTTCAGCTGAACTCAGACTCAAGGTTACCAAAATATTACTCAGAATCACAATTCGATCTGAGTCACAGTGAGTCGACTCATGAGTTTGTTAGCCTATAGAATTGGTTTGATCGATTGATTGATTGATTGATTGATTGATTGATATGTGGGGTTTAACGTCCCAAAACCACCATATGATCTTGAGAGATGCCGTAGTGGAGGGCTCCAGAAATTTCGACCACCTGGGGTTTTTTAACGTGCACCCAAATCTGAGCACACAGGCCTACAACATTTCCGCCTCCATCGAAAATGCAGCCGCCGCAGCCGGAATTCGAACCCGCGACCTGCGGGTCAGAGCCGAGTAGCTTAGCCACTAGACCTCCGCGGTGGGGCAATTGGTTTTATGGACCAAGGTGTGAATGCTCTTTAACCCCAACATAATAACTGTTAGAATTTAACGTCCTAAAACCACGAAATGGTTAAAAGAGAGCGGCTGTAGTGAAGGCTCCGAGAATTTTTCGGCCATCTGGCGTTCTTTAACGTACACGTAAATAAACACATGGGCCAAATCACATTTTCACCTCCATCCAAAATGCGGCCGCCTCAGCCGGGATTTAATCCCGTGACCTACGGGTCAGCAGCCGAATGCCATAGGCACTGTAGTCCATCATGGCAGAACAACAATATCTCACGCGATCGGTGCTCCCCTTGGCAGTCTTTGATATAGTACATTTGATTATGAGTTAACAAGGCTCGCAAAGCAGTTAGGTCATTTTTTACGCTGATGTTTGCAATTAACACCAATCACATCAAATTCTGTTCGGTGGTGTAGAATGAATACTAATACACTAGCACCATATGAGCATAGGCGAATTATGTTTTTCTATTTCGTGGCAGAAAGCTTAGCGGCACTCGTTAAGTTTCAAGCTTCACTATCTTCACCGCGATGTAGCATAACTTATGTCTTAGACCATTTGTATCATTATTGTTACACTTACGAACCTAATTAGCGGCTTCATGGATTGTCGCCTTGGTCAGCAGTTGGTGTATGGCAGTTTCTTAAATGTTGAATAACTTGCAATGTAGTCTTTTAAGCTAACGTCCACAAACATCTGCCACAACGGATACTGCTGGATTCTTTCTTCAGCGAAATATAACCAGTATGATCACGAGCGCATAAAATTGCACTCACCTCCATTGCAGGGCATCGTAGACTCGAGTGCGGCTTGGTCGCGGTGGGGTGATGCTGAACGCTGGAGTGATGTTCGCAGATATATTAGCGGCCGAGCTGTCGAAACGGGGCGAGAGTGTGAACAGAGAGAGAGTAAGCTCGGTGTATGGAAAAGCGGAAGCGGCATCAGCGCCCACTCGAACCGCCCCCCTACAATGTTTACAATCTTTGTCGGTGTCATATTGCCTTTGTACAAGTATTCTCATTGGCGGGGTATCAAAGTTGCACTATGTTTCAAGCAGGGCTGCAATATTTGCACTCCTTTTATGGCACTACTGCTTTCAGCGACTTAACTGGACAGCTTTTTTACATGTATGTATGTATGTATGTATGTATGTATGTATGTATGTATGTATGTATGTATGTATGTATGTATGTATGTATGTATGTATGTATGTATGTATGTATGTATGTATGTATGTATGTATGTATGTATGTATGTATGTATGTATGTATGTATGTATGTATGTATGTATGTATGTATGTATGTATGTATGTATGTATGTATGTATGTTCACGTAGGATGCGTATACTAAACTCAATATGAACAAACTCGAGAGAACACGAAGAAAAGCGGTTCGTTTTATTTATAATAAATACAAACGTCTAGACTCGGAGTCCCAACTAATGTTGGCAAACGACATTCCTTCTCCTCAACTGAAAACACAAAAGTACCGCCAGGACTTTTTACATAAAATAATAACCACGAATTCGACCTCGACCCTTCACTTTATGTATGCCCTCTTTCCCCAAGGAAAATACGGCACCATCGCTCTGATGCACTAACACCCATCTATCCAGAACAGACTCGTACAGGTATTTTTTTTCTCCTCCTCGGACGATTTCAGAACGGAATGCTCTGCCAGCACCTCAGAACCCATGACGATCTGCTTGACATGTACCTTTCTGCATATTTTTATGAACACTGTGTTATGATTTTATTACATGACGTTTGATATATATATATATATATATATGAACGTATGTTTATGCTTTTTCATATCTATATACGTTTAGCTTAGTGTCGAATTATATATGCCTGTCCTGCAAGGACCACAATCTGCAGTATGTACTACAGTATGATCTGCAGTATTTACTAATTAAAAAAATAAAAATATATGTATGTATGTATCAAAACATCTGGATAAATCTTAGTTGTGAATAGCGCTTGTCCTAGGCATTGTTACGCCCGAGAGTCCAGACCGAACGTCATTGCTCTGCAAAGGCAATCTGTGTCATCGCCAGCGAGCGAGCCCGCCTGACGCAATCAACTCAACGAAGTCATCAAGTGGCGGCGCCGGTCTGTCTTACGCAACGCACGGCGAGCTCCTTCAGCCCACGGGCCCGATAGCAGCCCGATGAAGCAATCGGCGCCATCCAGTCGGGCGAGTCTTACGCAACGCGTGGCAACATCACTCGTCCTTGGGTGCAACCAGACCGGCGCCGCCGCTTGATGACGTCGTTGAGTTGATCGCGTCAGGCGGGCTCGATCACTGGCCTTGACACAGATTGCCTTTGCAGAGGCATTGACGTTCGGTGTGGACTCCCAGGCATAACAGCAGTTCTTTTCTGATAGACAGAACGAGACTGCTTCGTAGCAAAGCGAAGTATTGAGAAAGAAAAGTCAAATTTTGCTAGATAAGACACACTGACCTATCGGACACACTCAACGCCTTATATCTGCCCTGAAGAACCGTATGACTTGCCCTGATGTTTATGAAATAGTACTTCCGGTTCACGGCCCTTCAAGAGCCAGTTTTGTGCTTCTGCAAAAAGCGAAGCCTACATTTCTGCAAGAAAGTGCGCAATTTTTTTAGGACACACAAGGGAAATGTTTAACTGTACCGTGTCTGTCAAACGCATAGTAGGAAGAACCACAAAGGTGCAGTGACTACTGTGGTACAGCAAGTACAGGCTAAGAAATTGAACCTAGGGCTTGAGGACCTGCAGACGCAACGTCTCACAATTGAGCCGCTGCATGAAATATTACGAAGCCAACTGAAAGTGAAGCGTGAAGACAATATTGAAAGCATCACTCAAGAGTGGGTACGCTAGGGCTGCGTCGCGGGTCGCTCCCACGTTGTAACGGGAAGACCGAGCCTGACGGCCTCATCGTGGGCTTTCTGGGGAAGCCTCTTTTCGTCACAGCTCTCGTAGATTTCCGAAATCTGGGGCGCATCACTCCTGAAGCAAGCAGAAAAATCGCTCTTTACGTCAATTGTTATTCTACTCTTAAGGTTTCAGGATGTGTAATTACACCAACAGTCCACTGATAACGAACAATAGCAGTCACCACGGAATATGTCATCCCATGCGGAAGTGCTTCCATATCCATGGGACAGCGTTGCTATCATTGCCGAGAAAAAAACTGCGCATGTGTGTGTGTGTACCTGTGTGGGCATGCGTACGTGAAACTGTGATTCATGAAAGCATTTCAGCTGCACATTCCGTTGTACTGAATGTGACGGCGGATACACCATTGGTTCCGCATGCCTGTCTAACATGCGAGTATTCCATAAACGGTACATTCCCGTTAACAAGAGCATGTCACCCGGTATATCATTTAAAAGGTACAAGGCGACATATTTAAAAGGTACAAGGCGACATATTATATGATAATTTAAATCAAGTTGTTCTTTAAAAGCTCCCTGCAAAACGTCCCAAAAGACGATGGCGTCCTTACAACTAATGAAACAATGTTCTATTGCTTCTGGAACTTCAGAGAGGCAGCAATTACTGAGGATACAAAGATACTTCTGATGCTTAACGCGGCTTTTACTGGTTATTATTTCTGTATGAACTTTGTAGAAGAATGTCTTGGTTACTTGTGAAATCGGCGTTTTCATCACACGTACTAGATTTCATGACCAGACATTTCGATGCATAACGAGCGGTACAATGGGGCCGGAAATACCATATCCAATACAACATAATGTAGATAGTTTCTTGAACTTAAGAACCAATATTCATTGGGGAATCTGGCTGTCAGCAAACATACTGATTCGTGACTTCACGCATAAATCCTTGCAAATAAAGAGACCTTGCAATATAAGTAAATACCACTTGGTAAAACATCTTCAAAATTAGCTTGCAATAATGTTCGAAACAGCGGCTGTGCCCAGTCCAGAAAATAAAGATGACATGACGCAAGTTGTCTAATGAAGATATGTACCAACCCAAGACCATCTGCAGAAACTGGTTTGTCTCGCCTTTTGGTTCATTGGTTGATTACCAAATAAAGGTGAAAATATGCAGTGAAACGTCTGAATGTAAACCCTGAAACAGTAAATTCCTTTGCAGTACCTAAAATATTTTGTTGCCAGAAACAAGATGCATGGCTTAGCTATTCCAAGGATATCATCTGCTAAATAAACATCTGGGCATAATGATTTAGTGTGGGCAAACGTTATTTCCCGTAATGTGCGCTTGATCTATTAGCATCTAGTTAACGCCTACGTATTTTGTTGGTACACAAGGCGATGCAATACTCTCCAAATGTGTTGGTTTATATGTTCGTGGGCCATACCACAGTCCTAGTCTTTAAGTGTGCCCCTGAACTTTTTCCGAATTCCCCGATTGTTGACACCACCATTATCCGTTGAAACTGCTTAAAAAAAAAAAAACAATATCAATGGTACGTAGCGGCAGGAGCCCTACGCATCATATATTGCGTGACAGAAGTGTGGGACCACGCAATGCGTCAAAACATGTGAATTGAGTAAGAAGTGGGTGTTTTAAATGTCCATTCAACACAAAGGCCTCATACCTATACATATTTATTCATCATCAGCAGCACAACAATCGACAAAGTGAACAGTGGCGTATGTTCGCGGGTCGCCCTGTATACGTTCACGATCCTCAGAAGGAATTAATATTGCGTTGTGGGCACTCAACAATGGCGCTTGCAGTAGGCATTCAGTGATAATTTGAAATGGCCAATGTTACGTGCGCAGTCATCTGTTTCCTTAGACCATGGTTGAGGCATTTATCGAGAACTGAAGCAGGGTAGGAGTTCAAAAGATAACGAGCACAAGGCCTGGATACGTGGTCACGATATACTCTTGTTTGCGAGTTCAGTGTATGTTTATCATGCAGTCAAGTCACGAATACTAATTTCGGCTGCGAGCCCACCAGGCATGAGCGCGGCATTTAAATCATGCTATACACGAAATTCGTGCAATGAATTTGCATGTTTCCACCTGCCATTAATATTCCTCATACAACGTATATCTCGTCGGTCAAACGGCCGCGAGCGCGCCCAGACACAAGAGAGGCATGCGATCAGGATCATTTAGGCGTGAGTGCGCGGCAGCTAAGAGAAAACGAGTGCGGTACTTTCCCCATTAAAGCGACCTTAGATGTATATAGAGTGAGTTATTTAGTCCCTTGCGGGAGCAAATACAGGGATATATAAATGAATATATATATATATATATATATATATATATATATATATATAGATATATATATATATATATGTATATATATATATATATATATATATATACATATATATATATATATATATGGTGGGGTGAAATTCAATGGATCCGGTGAAAAATGCGGTAGAAAAAGAGGTCGACAAACGTGCGGCAGATGACACACAGGGCACATATATGAGCCGTTTCTTTGCGTATCACACGGCTAAGTCATTATCAGTAGTTTAAGAAACAATATTATATATCACCAAAGGCGCGTGGCTATAGTGCATATACAACTGAAAACGCGTATCGTTGCACAATAGTGAATTTACACGTATTAGATACCCTACAACGTGTGTGCAATGAAACACGTCTGCAAAATAACAAACTGCGCACGCAGTCGCTCACTTGGTCATACGTTCTGCGGGATAATCACTGCCTAAAGACATTCAGCAAGCCTTTAAAAAGGTAGTTTAGAGAAATGAAAACAAAATCAGAAAGCAGGCAGAGCAAAATGAATGCGAGTAGAATGGTGAAGCGACAAAGGCCACCTACATTAGGTTGGTAATAATAAACAATA